TCACGGTGAATGTGTTGAAGGGATACGACACTGAAGCACTGAGGCCATGATTAGTTACAGCAGATTTTCATTCCTGCCCATCTCAACACCAAACACGTAACTGCCGCTCATCACTATTTACCCAAATACAGAACAGTCAGAATGATATTTGTAACGTGTGTTTCCATGAAATACACCATACAAGTCTTGTTTGTTTATTTGTTGTTTAAAGCCGCACTCAGCAATATTCCAGCTATATGACGGCGGCCTGTAAATAATCGAGTCTGGACCAGACAATCATGAGCATCGATCCACACAACTGGGATAGACGACATGCACCAACCATGTCAGCGAGCCTGACCACCCAATCCCATTAGTCACCTCTTACGACAAGCATAGTCGCCTTTTACTGCAAGCATGGGTTACTGAAGATCTATTCTACCCCAAATCTTCACGGGTCACCATACAAGCACAACCAAACATTCCAGCTTCATGTCAATCACATCCATTGATAGCTTTTGCACACAGATGTTTTGAACACTTTGAAAAAAAACACACAAAAAAATCCTTTATAAGGTGAGCGCTTTTAGTTCCTGTGAGCCTCTTCAGGCCATACATAACAGATGATGTGTCAGCCTCGCTACAAGGCTGTTCTGAAAGATAAGTCCATGGGTTTGTAGTAATTCTATCCTCCTAATAAGCAAGTCTAGATAAGCGGACATGCCAGTCATTTATGTTGACAGTTTGTTCTTATTATTTATACAATCTAGAAATTATGATTTAAACTAATAATTATTATAGAGACTTATGCAAGTCTAATATGTATGCCTCCTTACATTTTGTGAAGATTTGGGTGGAAATCACATAATTAATATATTGTGGTCTTATCTTCAATGCATGCTTCCTGCTGGCAAGGTGATGTTTGTGATACTGTAGTGATACGAGAACCTCTTGGCAATGTGCCCGCCGGACCCACCCCCACCCCACTGGTGTCCTATCTGACATTCCCTCCGGTGAATCTAACTGATCATGTGAAAACATTGATCATGGTAGGTGTTGTATGCCTGTAAAACAGTATCGTATACAGTACTATCACAATACTGATGTGTGAGGTGGTACTTGATAGGAAGTGCCAACACTCGATACTGGTGATAGTGGTGGAGAGTGTTATCAGGCCATCTGTATTTTTGGTTGTTCTCATCACCACTCGGTAGGTAATAAATTACTGTACTGACAAAGCAAGATTCATTTTTTTTTTATATCCATCCATTCACAGGCTTGAATTTGTCTTGTCAAAACCTTAATTTTTTGTTATGGATTCATAAAATGTTTCATAAAAATAATCTTTGGGGTATTTAATCGTAAGGATGTACGAAGATAGAAAGTAAATCTGCCTGTTGCTTTTTAAAAAAATCTTTTAAGCCCTCTGTGTTTATATCTTTAGGGCTCTCAACACCAGCACTGCACCTGTTGTGTTTTAATAATCAAATGAGGCCATGTTTTCCATATATCTTAGGCAACAGAATTTATCAGTTATATTCCCAACCAACGGCAGGTTGCCAATTTTTAGTTATTTGAAATTATTTGATACGTGTTCCTCACGTATCCAGTAGCACCAGTGAAACAAACCTAAAGTCACAGTCTCATAGAAACTTTTCTGGTAAAAAAATCAGGTCTTTGCAATTTCACAAATTGTTCAAAGTTTATGTCACAAGTATGTCAGAGATTCTTTGCTGTGATACCTCATGATCAAGACACACTTACTTGACAAGCAGTTACTGCTTCTTTCAGCTTAGTATAATAAGAGGGAAAACTCAGTTAAGACAATGACAATTATTCCATGCAGACTTTTTCTATGTTGGATATGTACTTTGGTTGTTATTGCCTGTTAGAGTGGATGTTGTGTCACAGCACACTCAGCAATATTCCAGCGATATCACATCAGCCTGGGTCAAAGAAGCCGTTGTTGTTTTGATGACCAACATCAATGGCTGTCACAGCATCTTGATGAAGGAAACCAAGAGTGTCTAAATTTCAGGCCTATGAAGCCTTTGTTTCATCAAATATATGAGCTGTTGTCCATAAGAATGAATGTAATTTCTATTCTGAAGAGTGATATTCTTTGTCTGGTTGCCAAGACATTGCAATACACTCATCATTATCTTGTTTACAGCGTTGTGAAGTAGTCAAATATTGGCTGCAAATAGTGTATAGTGAGTGTGAGGGAAACTGTTTTTAATGAGCAAATATCTTAAAGAACTTAAGGGCATGGTTGACCCACCTAGGTGCTGGAATTCGCTGTGCAGTTGCATCCCTTATGCAGGCCAGAAACCTTTGATTGTCGGTTCTAATCTGAGATTAGCCCTGGTTATGTGTCTAGGTTTGTCAGTACCATACCTATCAGCTTTCACATAAAGCTGACAGCCATGATGTGACTGAAATACTATTCAAAGTAGCTTTTACCAAATTCTCAGACAAATTTAATGAAACACCTGTATGAAAGCCTATATGTCCATTATGTGAGATACTACTTCTGGGTCACCTTTTGAAGTTCAGGGTGTTTGCATAGGGAGCTTGACTTGAACTGAATAATGCTGTCTGTTTGACGATAGAGTTTTTGGTTCAGTAAATACAGATTAAGACAATGCTGTTGACTTAGAGGACAGTTTTCTTGGATCCTTCCATGGGAATATACATTGATGCATGACACAAGCCTACGTCCTTTCATCAACTGCAGCTCCTGCATCTTTGTGATAAGTACTTTGGATAAGAATTTCGGTTTAACCAGTTCAACTTTTAATTGAATGCAAGTCCAAGTATTCATTTACATTCTGGGTGGGGTCTCTTCATCTGCATATTTGATATTTCACATCTGTAGCCAGAGAAAGATTTATTGAAACTAGTGACGTACATAAAGAGTTTTCATTTTCCTGGTGTTTTTTATGTTTGATGTCACCTGTTGCCACAGGATCGTTACACTGGTGACATATGTTTATTGGAGATTTTATCATATCTCTTTATCCCCCAGGCATATAATGCAGGGGGATATAGCGATCAGCCAGTCTGTCTGTCCGTCCGTCTGACCGTCTGTCCGTCCGTCCGTAATCATTTCCTTTTCCGGGGCAGAATTCCAAAACCATTCAGTGTATTTGATCAAAACTTGGCAAATCTATCAGGCACATACTGAAGTGGTGCCTTTTGATATTTTGGGATTTTTCTAATTTTTATTTTTTTTTCAATTTTTATGGAATGAAGTTGGACATAGACTCAATTGGGTATGGGGTTCGTTTCCGGGGCAGAATTCGAAAACCATTCAGTGTATTTGATTGAAACCTGGCAAATCTATCAGGCACATACTGAAGTGGTGCCTTTTGATATTATTTTTTTTTACGAATTTTTATTTTTTACAATTTTTATGGAAAGAAGTTGGACCTAGACTCCATTGGGTAACGGGTTCGTTTCCGGGCCAGAATTTGAAAACAATTCAGTGGGTAAACAATGTATGCTTCTTAAAGAACATTCAACTGTTGACTCATTACATACAGAATTGCACATTTACTAGTGGTTACTTTACAGACAGCTGTCGGGGGGGATATGTCATCTTTCTGATGACTCTTGTTATATCTGGAAATATTGTCTGCAATACAATGAACCAAATAAATCTGTGTATATGTATTCTCACGTTGCACACAAGCAATTACTCTGAGAAAGAAGTGTTCACTGTCACAGCCAGAAGCAGATCTGGTTTATGTCGGAGCTATCTTTCCGACAAACATTTATTCATTTGTAATAGTTTATGTCCGTTTTGGGCTTTAACACAACTTAATTGTTTTCAGTATTGATAGAGAAAACAAACACGCAACTCTGTAACAAAGGATTTTGTTAAAACTACATTTGTGTTTCTCATAAACAAGGTAAAAAAATAGCATGTGTGTTTCTCTCATAAACAAAGGCAAAACCAGAAAACCAGGTTCTGTCATTAACAAAATCATCCAAATCATCCAAAAATGTTGACAGACCTAAGAAATTAGCTTTTGATGAAGGCGCCAGGCGTTAGATGTTCCCCAGCAGCCCTGCTCACCAGGGGTCGGCATCTTCACCTGCCTGCAGCAGCAGCAGAAGGAGAGGTCCCTCATGCATGCTCATTTACCACTCTATTACCCTGCAGTGTGTCAGTCGCCTGTGATTGCTTGGTAAGCTTCACTCATGCATTGCACTGCTCTGTTGTTGTTCTCATTGGCTGTCTGGTGTGGTAGCTGTCATGTGTTTTGTAGTTCACCGTTTACCCTGATGACTTGCTGATGTGATTCATTAGTTGTACCCTAGTTAACTCTGTCAGAAGTGACATTGTGATTTTTTTATCTTTTTATATTTATGTAGGGTTTTTTATTATAAGTTTCACATGTAAGGAATTTTGGAATTTCGAATATGTATATATTTTATTTTTGTGTGTGTTGGTAAAATGTAAACATTTTCTCACATTAATGAATAGATAATCTTTGGCTAGTGTTATTATCATAGCAGTACCATTCAGATTATTTACATCACTTAAATAAGATAACTTTAACATAATCATATCCAGTTGTTAGAATTATTATTTTGAACACAACCACTTAAAATTGAAGTGGCATGAGTTTTTCAAGTCTATGTACGAATTTTATGTCCTATTATCTGTCATGTAAATAATTTTTTTCATTTGGCAGATATATTCAGGTCTAGCTTTATTCTGAAAGAGAATATAAAAAAAGTCATTATTAATAAATTCCATTTTATTCCGTGAAGCAGTCATCAGGTTAAAAGTTTCGCTGCAGCGTCTCCATGGTGTCACCAGCTGTCTCGATTAAAACATCAACTTGATTGTAAAGTCAGCATGCATAACACAAGCTTGCTGACACGTCTTTTACAGGTTTGAAGGTCCCGTTTAAATATTAAACTGCGGCGAGACACTCTGAAGACTTAGTTAGAGATTACTTGCGCTATGGTGCATCTGATAATTAAATGCGCTGTTTGTTTTCTTTCAGATGGTCTGAAGTAAACAGGAGCGACCTGTAGTTGCGATCTTCGTTATCATCGTTAGCCTGACCTGTTGGTGTCGCAAGCCGCTGCTTGATTGGTCGCCCGGCTGCCCCGCTGCTAGCTCTTGAATGTACTACTAACACAGAGGCTTAGGGAATAACCTAAGAGACATAGCCCAGTTGCAGCAGCAGCAGCAGCAGCAGCGTGAATATTGTGTGTGAAACTGTGGTACATTGTTGTTGATCATCAAGTTGATTGTCATTGCTTCATATCTGGTGACAGTGAGACGTTTGGAGCCCAGTTTATGCATAGAGATGACTGTTTGTTTTCAGTGGAAAAAATATGCTTGAGATTCCAGAAGGTGAAAAGTAAATCACACTAAGAGCTTGCAGAGATACTGTATGGGTTTGTCTGTTGCCAAGACCGATGAATGATTTCATTGTCAGTCGTAACATATCTCAATTGACCAAGTTTGAATTTGTGTGCAACCAAACCGGCAATATGGCATTCATGTCGGACAACAGTGATAGTGGGAGCGAGGACATGAGATATAATGGTACCTCGAAACACATGAACGGCAAGGAGGAAAACAGTATATGTAGAGACTTTCTACGGAATGTGTGCAAAAGAGGCAAGCGGTGTCGTTATCGTCATCCGACAATCAATGAAGCAAAAGATCTCGGCAAGAAACAGGAGTTCACATTTTGCCATGATTTCCAGAACACAGGTTGCCGTAGGGCATCATGTAAGTTCTTGCATTGTACAAGGGAAGAAGAGGAGTATTACCTACAAACAGCACAACTACCTGTTCGTCTCCAGCAGCAGGCAGCATTAGGGGTGGGATCAGTTGCACATTCCCTTCCCATTCTCAAAGGAGAGGTGCCCATTTGTAAGGATTACTTAAAACGTGAATGTAAACGTGGAGCAAAGTGTAAATATCGCCATCTTTCCGGTCAGGAATATGACTTTGAAATGCGCAAAACGGACATTAGGACTCCCCGAGTTCTGCCTTTTAATAACTATGAAAATGATAGTTATGACAGGTTTGAGTATGGACATGGCCCACTGAAAAGAAGACGGCTTGATTCTGAAGGATATGGTAACTATATCGATGGACGCTACCCTCCACCCATGCGCTCATTAAGCGTCCAAATGCTTGAAGACGAAAATAACATGTTGCGGCGCAAAGTTGAAGAACTTAAGAAACAAGTCGCTGATTTGACTGCAACAAATGAGGTCCTTCTCGAGCAAAATGCGCGCTACCGCGTCAGCAAATCCACAGCGATAATGACACCGGCAGTGACTGTTGCTGGCACAGGGGCTACGTTGAACCACCTGAGCACAAGCTTGTCCCAACAGATAGCGCTTAACAGTGAAATGGCCACCCAGCACGCGTTGCAAACAGCTCAGCGATTTGCGCGGGAGATGGTGCACGCTCCAAACCAATCGGCGCTCGCAGCCCAATCCATAAACCCATCAGTGACACTGAACCCATCCACCATGGTGTCGCTAACACCAGCGTCACTGCAGCAAAACCCTCTACAAGGTGCTGGTACCATTACACAGAGTATTCCACAAAACTTGGCTGGTCAGAGTGCTTCTCTAGTGTCCTACCCCATCGTGTCGCAGAGCATTAGGGTGGCGGGGGTGCCCAGCAGCATGGCGCATTGAAACTGTGTGTGTACATAGTAAGTACATTGCAGCATCTGCTTTTGATTTTCTGCGCTTCATTTGATAGCACTTTATTCTTTCATCAACAAATAAAGATTTGTGATATGAATTGAGATTTGAATGTGGCATTTGTTCTGGATTTGTCAGTTTCGGTGTGAGAGATGGACGCACTGCCAGTGTACTGAGTGTCTCGCTTCTTTCCAGTTGCAAAGACTATTATAGGAACTTGCAATCAGTGGTGTACCATATGCTCTCCAGAACAACTCACCTCTGTACATTTGCAAATCTTCGTACCAACACACACAAATGTTTTGGTGATTGAAAATAGATTGCGGTGCATTTAGCCAATCAGATGACTTTCTATGGCAAAAGTGTAGGGAAACAAACCAATCCGATGTCTCCTCTTATAAGTCTATTGTAGAGTGCATCATAGCTCCTGGCACGATATGGCTGGCATTTGTTCGATTACTAATGGAAGCAGGACAATCCTGCTTTCAAGATGATGAGGCCTGGGATGATATACTGTTGAAAGGAACTGCTACTTTTGAAGAAGGTAGGGTCGGCCGTACCATGGTATATGTTATGGACTATGCATAAAGCCTGCTAGCTAACACAAGTGGCTGTTAACAAAAACATGTTGTCAACTGTACAACAACTGAAGATTTGACAGTTAAACTGTGCAGAAGATTTTTTCCTAGTAGAAAATTTATTAGTCTTCTTGATATAGACTAGTAATTATGCAGATGCCAATGCATATCACAGTATCTAGTATTTACTGGAAATATGTTACACTGTAAATATTTTAAATATAAAGTCAGTCGGTCGGTCACCTGGACAACTCACTGCTTTTGATAATTTTTTGTGCCAGTATTAACTGACATTTGCAATTTAATTCAGTTGAAGGTAAGATATATATGTGTCTTCAACAGAACTGGGCATCATCTGAGTCTTGTGTTATTCTGACATTTAAACCTGATAAGATCTGATATAACATCTCCATCATTCAAGCCTGTGGGGACTGAGGTAGGAATAGGTCCCCAGCAATCTATTGCATGTCATAAGAGGTGACTTAATTGTATCTTGTGGTAAGACTCGGTGATTTCGTTGATTGTGTGTTATCATACTCCATCTGCGTGGGATGTTGTTTATAACATCAACTATTCTGTGGCCTAGGTTTGAATAAATACAGGCTGCAGTTATATCTGAAATATTGCTGAAGCTGCATAAAACTACAAAGAAAACTTGGACTAATATGATACTATGGTTTAGGAAAGAAAGTATGTTGTTTCGATTTCTGGGGAGGTGACATCTTTTTTTCATGCAGATCACAAACATATCAACTATACAATTGCAAGCAAGTTTACACCTGGACTTTCTATTTAACATACGTGTAAGTAAAATAACATGGACACAAATTGTTTTTGATCTGTTAAATCGGAACTGTAGCATGACAACCAAGTCATGGATGGTTTGGCAAAGACTTTGAGACCATTTTATAGTGAAGAGACAAGTCCCTTAAGTCACTAGAATCATAACTGGTGTGAGTATCATGATACAGACTACGATTTTGAGATACACACTTACTGGCTCTTCAGTGCTAATGGATGGCCTGTTTCAGAGTGAGTGAATGGTACAGTCAGCAATATTATAGCTGGACTTTGGTGGCTTGAAATTATTCAGATCACAGGGGTTTCGCTGAAGACAAATGGAATTAAAATATTCTGAAACATTTTCATGACTTTATCAATTATTTATGAGACTTATCTTCTGTAACATTAACGTCTTTGTAAATTATATACCAGACATTTTGGATAAGAAATCGTGAGTCATGGTTAGGCATAGGGCACAAGATGGACAACATCAGGAAAGTGTAGCGTCTTTGGTATGAATCTTGTTTGATTCCATTGTGAACAATATTACAGCTTCATCATGGCAGAGTCTGGATCAGATGAACCAGTTGCTGACAGTATGGGCAACAGCCTATGCTGTAAGTTTGATGAAACCAGAGACAATATAATAGATTATATGGTCTCTGATGAAGCACAAGCAACCACTAAAGCAAGTCAGCTTGATCCCCTTTCTAGTCTGCTGTAGTGAGTGGAATACTAAGGGATCTATTCAGCCCTGAACTCACAATGGGAACCAATTTGAGAGATCACTTTTGTTCACCTTGAGGTAGCTACGACGCTGCTTCTGACCTTACCAAGTACAAATGGAGTAACTATCAATCTCATTAAAATCTGATCTTCTATTCAGGTACAATACCTCTCTGTATGAAGATCTGAGTCCATCTCCATAGGAGGTTGCGTCAGGTGAACTTTCTTATCAGCCAATCAGCATTGGGGCTTCTAAGTTCTTGGTACAAGCGAGCAAAGCCTTCAGATCAGCATATCTGATTTCTGTATTTTGAAAACATGTTAAATATACAATATCAAGGCCAGAGAACAATTAGTCTCAACTATTCACCGATACAGATTCCCATGTGTGTTAAAGGTGAAATAGTGAAAACAACTTTGTCTGAATGTACATAATAAAGGCTGTGCCATTATATTGTTGTGGATATTTTATACACACTGTGATGTTTGAGCACCCTGGCATCTACACCCAACAGGGACTACCATCGAGGGCATGTTTGTGTTCTTTTTGGATTTTCATTTTCCAAATCAAGGTGGAAAAGAAATGAAGCCAAATCAAGTTTAGAAGCTGACCTCAGATTGGCTCAAAACCCCACACATTTTTAATATAGATCAGGATGTCAAAGGTCTCTCAGAGTTAACCTGACGCAACCTGGTGTCCTCAGATCTTCAGGAGAGAGGTATCATATAGTAAAATACCTGGTTTTAATGAGATTTGGTAACTAACTAACAAACAGATGGACCCTTCTGGCATTGTGTCGCCTATCATGCTGAACTGTGTAGTTGGTTTTTAAAGCACAAACACCAGGATTTCCCAGCAAGACCCACATCAACATTTATGACAATAAAGATATTCATACATTTCATTTTTAAAACATGCTGGTATGGTTAAGAAATAATATCAATAATGAAGAATCAGAATGATTGTACTTTCAGGTGTCCATTATGTACCCAGTTCTCACTGACCCAGCATACATTGCTTGTCTATCCTTGTTGTAGACTTCAAAGGTTAACATAGATACGGCTGTGGGGAATAAAGTCCCATCAACATACATTAAGCTGTAATGGCTAAAAATGTAATGGTTAGAGATGTGACAAAAGTCCTAGAGGATGCCTCATGGTGTCTGTGTCATACATTCCCTGTGTGTGGTTCGCAGATTGGCGTTGCCCAGATTACATCTCTTGCTCAGCCTGTTTCTCACTTTGATCTTGCACTTTTTGCAGTTAAAGATCTTCAGCATGCTCCTTAGATGTCAAAACATCACCAAAATAAATTTTAAGTAAGGTGCAAATGATACAAGTCGGTCTGTCAACATGCTCCATACAAGGGATTGCCTGTCATATTTGCCAAGCTGTTGATTAAAATAACTCCTGGTTTAACATAGAGCTCTTTACCAAACATGCAAGGCCACAACCGATGAGTTACATGTATGTCAAATGTTCATGTACACAACAGAGTTGAAAAAGATCCGAGGAAATATTTAATGATTAAATGTCTCTCGGAAAGTACATACGTGATATCAGTGTTTAACATTCAGATAAATTCCTGCAGGACTGGCAAGTCTACTACTAAACAGCCACTCCAGACTGTTGATCAATATCTACCCGGTACATGCCACTCAGGGTATAAGTTCATAACCTTTATTTTATTAACTAAATCTACATGAACAAATTCAGCCTGACCATCAGATGTGCATGTTTTAAAATTTGACCCTCCAAGACAAAAACAGACCATGGTAGGCTGGTATTTTGAACTCTGGCCATATACAGTAGTTCATCTGATATTTTGATATTTTTTTAATCCCTTTAAGATAAAATATACATGTACTAGGCTTCCAATTCTAATTATGAAGCACAATAAATCATAATTAGGTTCCTTTGTTATCAAATTTTATGATGTTTTTCAAATTCAGGACATTAGAAAAGATATAATATGCACATGGTATACATGGTTTTCATGTAGTGCTGAATGGATCATAAGAATATAACTTATCTTCAGCTGAACGATTACACACTGGGAATAGTGAGTGTATCCAAGTCGAGATACATATTAGCCCAGAAATTTCATTTGAAACCTACCGCGTAATTTGGAGGTGTCAAATGTCCAAGCTTTCAACACCACTAACCCACGCAACTCTGAAAACAGAATGTTTATCGACATTGTCGAATACACAAGTTATCAGTAATTTTGTGAAGCACAGTCTATACTTCTGCCTCTCTCCCTGATGTCTGACAGTTGTGAGACAGACATGGCATCGATGACCCTGGAATGCAATGCTGTCCTGATACAATGGATGGTGTCACATTATAAGTATTAATCAAATGCAATAGATAATGGATGCAATATTCTTGTTGCCAGCTAGGGCCTGCCCGGTTCTCAGACTTGGGATAGAATACTGACCAGGAAAATTAACATGCTCATTGAAGAGTTCAGATTTCCATCGTTTGAATCCAATTTAACGTTTTCCAACCTGTTGTAGGGACATGAGGTGATTAGAATCAGTTCATACCATCTTCCCCAAAGCAAGGGACTTATCTGTTTGTAAAAGTCCAGGGTTGAAACTGGACATTTTTAGTCTGTTAACTCCCTTGCCACGGGAAGATGCTTTTATGATGTCACCCATGCATTGCTGTGTAAAGTAAGAGAAATATGGAATATTGTTTGCAACAAGTCATTATTCTGAGACAATACATGACAATAGCACTCACATGACAAGGAACATGCATGAATGGGTCGGAAACTTAAGAGGTTTTAAAGTATTTCAACAATTCAATCAGTGTGTGATTTCAAGGTAATTGGATTTGCGCAGGTAAATTGGTGATATGAAAAGCATGATCATGACAGACAAATAACTGACAGACTACGAAGACTGTCTGACAAA